GGTGGAGGGGGAGAGAGATATTTTCTTCTAGTTGATTGTGTTCCCGATGTTTACAAAGAGAGCAATTATTTTACTATGTCTTTTCTCACTTAGGCCATTGTGAAACCCCTGAATGTTGGAAGAGAGATATACTTACCAGGGGGCCGGACATTTTTTGGTTCCCTGTTACTGATAGAGCATTTAAAAGTAGTCTGGCTAAAAGAAAAACAAAATTAACAACAGTACATCGTCCTCGTTGCAAGCAATCCACTTGAGTCTAAATTTGGGACCTCTCGTGGTCGCCTGCTTTTGTCTTCACTTTCCTCCTTGCTTTTTGTGTCCTACTCTCTTGTAACACTTCTAATCTTTGGGACTGCGGGTGGCTGGCGGATGCTTTGATGTGGTTTTCTTCTTCTTTCCTATCAAACATCTATCATCCTTATCTCTCATCCTTTTTTGTGTATGTTCCTCTCTTGTAACACCTCTTATCTTCGGCACTTATATGATTTGTGTTTCATGTGCTGTAAAACGCTTCCTGAAACAAAAACGAAATACAATAATTTTGTTTTTTATTTGGTGTATTTGCAGATCGTTGGATGGTCGTCTTCAAGTGTCGCACAGGAAAGGTTTACCCCATGTGATATACTGCCGGCTGTGGCGTTGGCCTGACCTACAGAACCACCAAGAACTGCAGCCAGGGGACAGATGCGAGTACGCCTTTCACCTGAAGAAGGACGAAGTGTGCGTGAACCCCTACCACTACACCCGAGTCGAAGCAGGTGAGTCTCTTTAGCATGCGCGAGTGGTTACTTTTGTTTTAGTGCAAGTTTTGCCACACTTGTTACACAAATAGGTCGTGAGTAGTTGGAGGGTGCCGCTGGTAGGTCCTATTTTTTAACTTTCCTTGTGTTGTTTCTATCTGTCTGTCTTACTTTTTCTCAGCACTAAATGACCATTGTTGTGTTGACATGCTTAATTTTACTGAAACAAACAAATAGTTCATATGCGTTCTGAAAAGTAGAGGTATTACTACAAGAGAGAAATGTACATTCACAGAAAAGGAGGAGATATATAAGGACGATAGGGTGGTTGCCGGGTGCTCTCAGGTGGTTTGTGTCTTCTATTTCTTAACAGTGTTACTGCCGTGCCAATCTGTTCCTGTTGACAGACATCTGGTCATTTTTATGCTGACTTACTGTCAGTGTCGGGTCAGATATTATCAGTGGATGGTTGGTGGGTGTTCTTAGGTGGTTTAATTTTCTATTTATTGGCAGTGTTACTCTTGCCTCATCTCACCCTGGATCAGGGTAAAGACCAAGAGCAAACACTTTCCACCTTTTCCTATCCTGGTCTCCCCACTTTTTTGTACATCATTCTCTGTGACTCACCACTTGCCGAAGTATAATTTACAAAAATGAAATATAATCCCTTGGCCTTATTGGAACAATATTGTGTATGATTATATTGAAGCAATGTATTTCATTGCAAGTGGTCATGTGTGTTCCGATTGTGACATATCCTATTTTTTTGTATCTGGCACATAAGTTATCTTTTTTATACAGGTCACCGTATATATGTGTGTTATCATGGTGAAATCAGGTGCTCGTCAACATTATGAATTCAAAGAAACTGGCATATGTCTGCCCGTTGGGCAATTTTTATCATTTTTGTTTGTTTGGCTGCGCACAAAAAAAAAAAATATATTTAAGAACACACTTCTGCGTTTATTTTACAGAGACATGTGGATGAAAGGCACAGTCAATGTAATTTGCAGCTTCCAAGGATATTCGAGCTTTGAACTTTGAAATTCACCAAACTTTGGCAGCCATTAAAATTTTTTTTTTACCTTTGACAAAAGACGGTCCCCCCACCTCCTTCAGTCATGAAGATCTCGATTATTAAGTTTAGAGAGATGGATATTGGACAAGCTTTAAGATGATCCCAATAACTTCATTTGACAAAAAATATTGACGAATGCCTGATCCAACGTGTTGTGACACATAATACATGTCACTATTGCCCTGAAATCCTCATGTAATTACATCAGTGCAGTGCAAAATCAGCAGTAGATGAACTTTTCAACAAAGATGTTTTTCTCTCTCTCTTTCTCTCTCCTGCTACTGTTGCTGCTGCTGCTGTTGTTGCTGCTGTTGTCACTGCTGTTGTTACTGTCGTACAGTGCTGCCGCGAGTTCTAGTGCCGCGGCACACGGAGATCCCCGACAGCTTCCCCAAGTTAGAGGACTACAGCACCACTATACCCGAAAACACGGATCTCCCTACCAGCAGCAGCATCAATGACACGCCTTTCAGTATCTCTGGTGAGTCCTCTCCGCTCTTAAGTCTTTTGTTTTGCTTGCTGGTGGTTGGAGGGTTTGTGGGCCACTGGTGGTTCCTTGAGTACTTTGCTCTCCTCTGGTTGTTTCTTGTTTCTGTTTTTATATATGTGTGTGTGTCTGTCTGTGTATGTGTATGTGTATGTATGTGAGCATGATTATGCCTGTCTGTCTGTCACTCGTGTATGTGTATGTGTATGTCTGTGTGTGTGTATGTGTTTATGATTATGTCTGTCATTTGTGTATGTGTATGTCTGTGTGTATATGTGTTTATGATTCTGTCTGTCATTTGTGTATGTGTATGTCTGTGTGTATATGTGTTAATGATTCTGTCTGTCTGTTTGTCTGTCTTGTCTTTATGTTCTCTGTTCTGGCACAAAACGGCCATTGTTGCATCATTTTGCTTCTCTTTACTACAACTGATAGCTTCATGTACTCGCGTCCTGTGGGTGATCGGAGGACACTCTTGGTAGGTCTTACTTCTTTACTTTCCTTCTGTTTTTTCTGTCTGTCTGTCTGTCTGTCTGTCTGTCTGACTTTTTCCCAACATTTAAAAACCATTCTTGTGTTTATGTGTTTTTCTTTCCTCAAAGACTCCAACTCTTGTCCTGTTGAAAGAAAACATTTTGGTTAATAGTGGGTAAAATTCTTACATTGATTGTTTCAGTGAGTAAAATTAGTGCAACTGCTCTCTTTCTGTTTCTGCTTTTCTGTCTCTGTCTCCCTCTCTGTCTGTGTCTCTCTCTTTTTCTGTTTCTCTCCCCC